CCAGGCCCCAACATAATGAACAGAAATATGGGTGAAAAAAGAAAGTACTTCTTAAACCAACCTGTCGCTGTTACTTTTTCTATTGCTTTGTTTTTGGTAAAACCAACTTGATCATTAAAAACAATCACTTTAGACTTTTTTTTTTTCATTTCAAATACTTTTTAGGAGGCACTGATAAATGCGAAAATCTTGATAAGGATTGTGACAAAGAGGCCAGGAAACACGAATGTCAACTACTCCCCGACTACATGATGCAAAGATGTAAACGTTCCTGCCAATTCTGTGGCGCAGGTAGGGAAAATCTAGTGTCCATAAGAAAAACCGAAGTAGGTCATAAAGTCAAGTACACTTCGACTCCGTCTGCGTGAGACTGGATTTCATGTACTACAGGAAATATTCTGTTCCACAACGCATAAAGTTTTTTTTTTCGGTAGCTATTGGTTATCTATCCCAATTTTTCCACAATGCCTTTGAAATGATTAGATTTACACCTTTAGCTAAAAGTCATAAAGGCTAAGTCTGTTTATGGGTCAAGTGGCCTATCTTAACTCCAGGCTTAACTCCGTAAGCATAAAACCTTCTCCCCCTTGGGGGATGGGATACAAGTCAATCGCTGGGTTACCCACCATCACTGAATTTACCGGTAACCATTTAAACATCTGGATAAAGAGAAACTCTGTGAGAGTAAAGTGGTTTTCCGAGAACACAACACAATATCCCCGGGTAGGGCTCGAACCCGCGCAACTCGTTCCGGAGTCGAATGCACTAACCATGAGGCCACCGCGCCTCACACTCATGAAAATTCCCTGGCTTGCATAATTCCGCGGCTGATTTAAAGTTGCAGTGAGTTTTTTAAAAACATCGAAGGAGAGGAACTGTAGACAGGTAAAAAATGATACGTCAAATACTTCTTAAAAACCAAAGTTTCAAGCTAAGAACGTTATAAACCTTTCTTTTTAGAGTCTACGTTTACAGACAAACATGCCATTTGCCCAATATGGGGAGAACTTGGCTACTGCAAAACAAACTCTGCCATAGAGAGAGAATGTCCTCACAGTTGCACGAAGTACAGTTACGTCCAGGCAGCTTCCAAACCATATCAGTACCCCAAAAAGGCTCTGCATCCCTACCAATTCCAGCCTGGACAGTACCCGATCCCTCCTCTGTACCCATATCCCACACGATACCCGAGCCCATATCCTTCCCCGTATCCTTACCCATACCCATACCCTTATCCCTCACCGTACCCCTCTCCCTACCCATATCCATCCCCGTATCCATCCCCGTACCCATCCCCTTACCCATCCCCTTACCCATATCCTATACCTTCTCCGACACCAGCACCGCAGGTAGAGTAGTTTTCTTTTCTTCATGTGCTATAGGTCACTTTCTTTAAGATCACTGTTTTTTTT